AAAAAAAAAAAAAAAAAAAGTAGTGTTATAGTATGAGTATTATTGTGCCCTCTATTTTGAGAAATGTGATTATTCTAGAAAATAATCTGAAATTCCTGAGTTAGAATATGTATATGGATTTTCTCCCCAGTGCTCCACTCCAGCTACGAGAACTAGTAAATTGTCGTTGGGCAGAAGAAGTAACACAACAGCTTGATACTCTTCAACTCTGCAGTCTCACCAAACATGAAGAAAATGAAAAGGACAAGTATGTCCTCAATTTCTTGGTTCACTATTGAATGGATTTTGCCTTTGTGTTGTTTAATGACAGTATATTGGTAATTGCCTTTTAGTTACTTATGAATAAGTGGTGTTATAGTTCTTAAGTTTTTAATTCTTTCAATCGTGTTGTTCCTATTAACATATTTTTTAATATGTTTATTTAACAACAGTTATTTCATGCCCTGTATACACACAGACATCCCTTGCCTCCCTCTCTCCCCTCACAGGAAGTACTTTGCTAAATGATAGGCATACAGAGGTAAATGAGACATGATTTCTGTTAACTGCTTAATGGGAAACAGTGATAATACAGTGTCAAATCATTTGACGGACAGGAATGAATAAATGGTCTTATGTTCCATGATTGAAGGATTTTGAGCATATCTAGGGAGTGTTTACGGGGAGCAGATAAAGAAAGGAAAGAATAATGTGGCAGTGATTTGTTTTTATAGATGAAGAAACTACAACATGGTTAATTGGAAGGCTTCATTGTCCAGCAATAATAAAATAACTTGAATTAGGTGAGATTCCAGGACTCTTGAATATTTAGAAACAAAACCATGTCACTTTCTGTGGAGTTACAACATGGTAAAGCAGGAGGTGGAAACCTCACAGGTCATTAGAAAAAATTGTATCTGTTTCTTTATTATACTGAGGAAGTAGAACCATAGAAGTAAAAGAGAACAGGGCATGTTATGTGCACCTGTAGTCCCAGCTACATGGGGGACTCAGGCAGGAGGATCTCTTGAGCCCAGAGGATGGCTTAGGCAACATAGCAAGACCCCATCTCTTAAAAAAAGGAAAAAAAAAATAGAGAAAGAGGCTTAACTGTGGTAGTATAACACATTAATGCATAATCAGAATTAAAATCTATTGGGCCAGGTGCAGTGGCTCATGCCTGTAATCCCAGCATTTTGGGAAGTTGAGGTGGGTGGATTACCTGATGTCCGGAGTTCAAGACCAGCCTGGCCAACATGGTGAAACCTCATCTCTACTGAAAATACAAAAATTAGCCATGCTTGTTGACAGATGCCTGTAATCCCAGCTACTTGGGAGGTTGAGGCTGGAGAATAGCTTGGGCCCAGGAGGCAGAGGTTGCAGTGAGCCGAGGTGGCACCATTGCACTCCAGCCAGGGCGACAGAGCAAGACTCGGTCTCCAAAAAAAAAAAAAAAAACCTATTCAAGTTTAACTGGACTCTTAAGGAATTCTGTTACTTGTAGCAGAATCCCAGCACTTTGGGAGGCTGAGGCAGGTGGATCACCTAACGTCAGGAGTTCAAGACCAGCCTGGTCAACATGGTGAGGCCCTGGCTCTATTAAAAATGCAAAAATTACCGGGCATGGTGGCAGTTGCCTGTAATCCCAGCTACTCGAGAGGCTGAGGCAGTGAGAATTGCTTGAACCTGGAAGGTGGAGGTTGTAGTGAGCCGAGATTGCACCACTGCACTCCAGCCGGGACGACAGAGCTAGACTCCATCTCAAAAAAAAAAACAAAAAAAGCAAGTTCCTTGGCCTTTTGGCTAAAATCAAGTGTCAAAAATGCAAGAGTGTAACTTTACAAGCAAGAGAAAAAAACGTTTTAATTATGGTAAAATATACATACAATTTGCCATCTTAATCTTTTTTTTTTTTTTTTTTTTTTTGAGACAGAGTCTTGCCGTGTTGCCCAGGCTGGAGTGCAGTTGCACGATCTTGGCCCACCGCAACCTCTGCCTCCCAGGTTCAAGCGATTCTCCTGTCTCAGCCTCACAAGTAGCTGGGGTTAGAGGCGCATGCTGCCATGCCTGGCTGATTTTTTGTGTTTTAGTAGAGATGGGAGTTTCACCATATTGTCTGGGCTGGTCTCGAACTCCTGAGCTCAGGCAATCCACCCGCCTCGGCCTCCCAAAGTGCTAGGATTTTAGGTGTGAGCCACCGTGCCTAGCCCATCTTAATCATTTTAAAATGTACGGTGAATTATGTTAAGTATGTTCACATGTGCAGCCAATCTCCAGAACTTTTTAAACTGGCAAATCTAAAACTATACCCATTAAACAACTCTCTATTCTCTTTTCCCATGTTTCTATCAGTTTGAGTACTCTAGATACCGCATATAAGTAAAACCATATAGTACCTATTTTTTTGTAACTGGTTTATTTTACTTAGTGTAATGTCCTCAGGATTCATCCATGTGTCAAAATTTCCTACCTTTTTAAGGCCGAATAATATTATATTGTATGTACATGTCACATTTTGTTTGTCCATTCATCTGTCAGTGAAAATTGGCGTTGCTTCTACCTTTTGGCTGTTGTGAATAATGCTGCTGGGACCGTGGGTGTTCATGTCTTTGAGAATCTGCTTTCAGTTCTTTTGGTTATGTAATCAGAATAGGAATTGGCTAGATCATGTGGTAATTCTATTTTTAATTTAAATTTTTGAGGAATCTCCATACTGTTTTCCATAGTGACTATGTATGTGCCATTTTATAGTCCCACCAACAGTGCACAAGAGTTCCAGTTTCTCTACATCCTGGCCAACACTTGCTGTTTTTTTTTTTTTTTTTTTTTTTTTTTT